TTCCTCATCTCAATAACCCCTCCTTCTGCATAGACAGGAAACACAGGAAGTTGTCAGCTAACAAGATTTCTGGCAAAATCAAAAGGGGGCATTTTATGTTATGCATGTATTATACAGATATAACAAAATATTTTAAATGGTATATTTAGCTGACCATAAGCACTCCCTAGCCAGTATACAATATCACAATAAATCACACAATGTGAAAAAATTCAAATCAATGCATAAAAGAACAATGCAAGCAAATAACACATCAAACCTAAAATCTTAGCAACAGTGCATAAAAGTAGGTGCTGTCCATAGAAATGCACCCTTTGAGAAACTTCTGTGCACAAAAAGTGAACAATTCACTCTTCAAAAAAGGTGCAAAAGTGTTTCTTTTCCACGCCCTATGTGATAATCCCCCTAGGGCCAACAAATTCACCAATTTCAATAATAATGACTAACGTAATTTTAAAAAGTTTGAAATCAAAACCAATAACACTCTCAAAAATAGTGCTCAGCCTAGCACTCAGGATAAATCGCTTAACAAAACTTAATGACAGGACGCGGCTGCACGCAGCTACATGCCGACCCAAATTTGCACATTCGTACAAGTATGGATACATACCCTTGGACACTGAAAAATTATATATATAAAGTTGAATGATTTAGGGAAGGGAGACATGAAGGAGTATTGGAGAAGAAAGAAGGTAAATATATGGTCCCTGTGGCCTCTGAAATATCAACCATTCATTATCTCCCTAATGCACAAAAGAAGAGAACTTGTCTGCCCTCCTCCAGGAAGACCTATAGTTAGTGGTATTAACTCATCATCTTCCAGACTGGGAGAATATGTATTGATTATTATCCGCAGCACTTAGTGATGTCCACCCGTTCATTTTTAGAAGATAGCAAACATTTAATTGCATTATTAGGGGAAATAACCTAGGAGTATAATGATACTTTTGCTACAGTGGATGTTAAAGTCCTCTATATTAACATTACATTAATAAATGGTTTTTATGTAGTCATATGGAGTTTAGAAGGCAAATAAGACCTTGGAGAGCAACACACAGAGTACATATTAAAGCATTTAGAGTTTGTCATAAAACAAAATGATTTAATAATTATTATTATTTGCAGACAAAGGGTGTTGCAGTAGGAGCAAGATATGCTCCTAGTGTAGCAAATGCTTTTATGCTGAAGCGGGAAGAAGTGTATATTTATGATGGGAGACGGTCTAATTTAATTTTTTAGAAATGCTTTACTGATGGTACCGTTATAATTTGGAGGGACACTCCCAAGTCAATATAAATCTTTTTAATGTATATGTGATCAACTGCTCTGGTACATGGGATATGAAAAGTAAAAATGTCCTGGATTGTTTATTTTTAAGGGTAACAACAAAAAGTTATGGATTAAAACACATTTTAAAGACAATGAACCTA